TGATGGCTCAGGGCCCACCTGGAACTCAAGGGACCACGTGGGCCCTGGTGCCAGACAGGAAGGCTCAAGGGGCTTTCTGGAGACAGGGGGCCTAGCCTGAGGCCTGCGATCTGGGAGGGTGTTCCCGGAAGTGTTGTGCAGAGATGTGGTTTGCACCGCCACCTCCCCACACAAGGCCCTCTGTGCAGGGACAAAGCAGGTGTTGCCAACAGAGATCCGCAGGTGTGGGCCTCCCTTCCTCAAACCATGGCAACAGGGCCAGTGCTGTGCAGGGAAGCAGTGCTCAGACAAAGGCAGGCAGGCTGGGGGCAGAAGGGATAAAAAGCAGGAGGGAGGATGAGGGCGCCCAGGTCGGCAGCGTTTGCCGATTCCTGCAGTGTAAACACTCCTGACGTGGCCAGGGTCAAATTAGGCATGAGCCCAGGCCACAAACCCCTAGACACAAAGGCTTGGGTATCTGAGGAGGTGGCGGTGGGCCACACAAGCTCCTCCTGTCCTTGTGCTGTGCCATGACGGGACTGCGTGTACTGAGGTGGAAATGTCTTGGAAGAGAGAGCCCGAGACAGTCCCTCCAGCCCCCAGAGGGTCCGTTTGTCCCCTGAAGATGGGAAAGTTGACCAATAGGGAGCGATAGATCTGAGATGTCGTGAGGGGGGTGAGGGACAGGGCCTGGACAGCAGAGGCCCGATGGGCTGGCGTCAGCCTAGAAAGAGGACACTGGCCGTGGCACCTCTTAGAGCCAGGCTGGCCCAGGACTGGATGTTCACCCAGATACAGGCTGCCACGTGAGACTCCCAGAACACAGCTCAGCACTGGGGAGAACAGGAGGGCAGCCCACCCCAGCAGAGAAGAGAAAGTGGGGGAAGGCCCTGCCTTGGAGGAGATGGGCGGCGAAGGGGCCCCTGGGCCAGGCCGAGGACAGCACTGTGCAGGCACAGCAAAGCTGCCAGGGGGAGGTAGCTCCCTGGGGCCGACCTGGCTTCCAGTCCCACCTCTGGGCTCTCTGATACTCCCAGGGCCAGCGGGTGCTGGTGAGTGCAGCCACAGGATGGGGGACAGCGTGCTGGTTGTGCCTGCCTGACCCTGGGTGAGTCCCTTAGTACATTAATTCCCCCTGGCCTACTTCCTGCTCTGTGGAATTGGGGAAAACTGCAGGCACTTCGCCTGCTTGGGTCACTGATGCTTGGCACATGGTAGGCATTCAGCCTCAGAACACTTGCAGAATGAATGAGTGAATGAGCTGTGCAGATTCACGAGGCTCATGGAGGGTGACGCAGAGGCACACGTGCACACACATATGTACACACACACACAGCATTTACATGCATGCTTATGCACCCATGTGCACACACATACTCACTCACTGTCCCGTCTTGCTCAGGTTAGGATGCCTGGCCCCGTCTCCCCCCTGTGCAGCCTCCGATGCCTCGGGTTTGCCCATGTCCCACCCCACGGCCACACCCACCTTGTGGTGCTGGCCGTGCAGCACGAAGTGCAGCGTGATGAGGCAGTAGCTGTCGCTGGGGGGCTTCATGTGGAACAGGAAGCGGTGGATGAGGTACTCAATGAGGCTCCACAGGAACATGCCCAGCACGAAGAGGCCGGGGAACGCGGACTCGGGCACCGCCACCGAGTACTCTGCAGGGGCGGCAGAGAGAGGGGCAGGCAGGGTCAGGGCCAGCGGGTCCCGGGTGCAGCAGCGCCTGCCTGGCGGCTCCAAACGTCCCTGTTTCATCACCCGGGGCAGCGTGGGAGTGGCTGCCCTCTGTCCAGCACCTGTGGCGTCCTGGCCCTGTCGTTGGGGCAGAACGGGAAGGAGGCCGAGAGGGTCTGTTGTGGTTTAGGAGAGAGCTGCTCTTTTCCCTGGTGGGGGGGGTAGGGCTGCAGGAGGGGAAGGGGACCAGCAGCTGAGCCGGTGGGGTCAGGGGCTACGGATGAAAGACATTGTCCTGAGCCTGCAGGGCCAGAGGACAGGAAGAGCCAAGGACAGGGGTGTCGGGGGAGAAGCACCTGGGGGAGATCTGGAAGTAGCAGATGAGGCCAGCCTGGAGACGGACCGTCAAGGGCAAGGGGCCCACTCTCCAGTCCTCCCACCCGCCATGACCCCTGTGGTCCCTGCAGCTCTGTGTCATTCCTCCACTTGGCTCATTCTTTGGCCTCCTGGGAACTTCACCTCTCACACCTGTCTCCTCCATTTCCATCCTCACCCTCTTAGCTTTTCCTTTCTCCACAAACCATTGCTTGGGCCATGCTTTCTCTTTTAGGTAGCAGCTTTATTGAAACACGACATGTGAGCATGCAGCTCATCGTATGAAGCACGATCCGTGGTTTGGAGTCTTATTAGAGTTGTGCAGTCACCACCACGGTCGTGGTTAGAACATTTTTTTTTTTTTGACAGGCAGAGTGGACAGTGAGAGAGAGAGACAGAGAGAAAGGTCTTCCTTTTGCCGTTGGTTCACCCAGTGTGCCGGCGCTGCAAGGCGGAGGATTAGCCTAGTGAGCCGCGGCACTGGCCTTGGTTAGGACATTTTAATCACCCCCTAAAGAAACGCTGCACCTGACTTTAGTCACCCGATTCTTCCCAGCCTCTCCCAGCCCTAGGAAGCCACAGATCTACTTTCTGCCCACGGGATTCGCCTATCTGGGACATTTCATGTGGACTCCTACGATCTGTATCATCTTTTACTTTATCTTAATCAAGGTTCATCCGTGTCATAGCATAGATCAGAGCTTCCTTTTTTTTTTTTTTTTTTTTTTTTTGACAGGCAGAGTTAGACAATGAGAGAGAGAGACAGAGAGAAAGGTCTTCCTTTTGCCGTTGGTTCACCCCCACATGGCCGCTACGGCCAGCGCTGCGCTGATCCAAAGCCAGGAGCCAGGTGCTTCCTCCTGCTCTCCCGTGCGAGTGCAGGGCCCAGTCACTTGGGCCATCCTCCACTGCACTCCTGGGCCACAGCAGAGAGCTGGACTGGAAGAGGAGCAAGCGGGACTAGAACCCGGCGCCCCAACCGGGACTAGAACCCGGGATGCTGGTGCCGCAGGCGGAGGATTAGCCTAGTGAGCCGCGGCGCCAGCCTCTTCCTTCCTCTTTAAGGCTGAATAATATTCTGCTTGATGGCTGCACCATCCTGTGCTTATCCATCCGAGAGTAGATGCCCCAGGGTGGTTTCCACTTGTCGACCATGTCGCTGTGAACATTCGGGTCTGAACTGTGGTGTGGACGGATGTTTCCACCTGCTGGCTCCATACCAGGGAGCAGAGTTGTGGGGCCACGGGGCACCTATGTGGTTCAGCTTGGGAGCAGCTGCTGGGCTGGTTTCCGAAGCCAGTGATTCTCCTTGGATCTTTCCTCCTTCCCTGGTTCCATTCACCCCAGGCCTCGATCAGCACCAGAGTCTGCCACTCCATCTCGTACCCAGGCGGCTTGGCCAGCTGCTGGTGTGTTCAACTTCAGCAAGACCCCAAACCCTGCCTGGTGGTCCTTCAGCATCTACCCCTCCTCTCCGCCCTCAGACACCCTCCCCCCTTCCACGCAACCTCCGCTTCACGGAGAAGACAGGCCTATCGTGGGGCAGGGCGGGGCGAGCTGTCGCCTCCAGTCCTCCCTTCCTCCTCTGTCCACCTGGGGCGTCCTTGTTGCTTCCTGGGAGGAGGCGTGACACGGGCGGGCTCCTCTGTCCACCTGGGGCATCCTTGTTGCTTCCTGGGGAGGCGTGACCCAGGCAGGCTCCAGGCCGTGGTGATCAGGAAAAGACATGGCGGCAGACACAGGTGGCCCAATGCTGCACTTCGGTGGTTCTACGTTCTGTCACCACACCCTTATGTGAGGGTGCGCTGGCACTGCCTCCGCGAGGCGGGTGTGGAGGAACAGGCGGCCGTCACCACTTGCCAGGGTCACCCTACTAGGCAGCCGCCTCCATGCCAGCCAAGTCTCTGGGCACAGCCCCCTCTGCTCATCTTTCACTTCACCTACTGACAGCTGGGCCAGACTCGCACCTCCACCTCACTGGTTCCTGAGGCCTTATCAAGTCCCTAAAAACTGTCTTCTGCCCTGTTTTCCAGAACCGCAAAGGCCACTCATGATGTATTTCTGCTAAATCAAAGTAATTTTCTGATCCTTCTCCCACTTGGCTGGGCCATGTGACATTAGTGACCACTCTCTTCTTGAATCTGTAACAGCATGCATTCTTCTTCTTCTAATTAGAATATTATTTATGTGAGGAAGACAGAGAACTCCCACTGCTGGTTCACTCCCCAAATGCCTGCAACAGTGGGGGTTGGGCTGGGCCAAAGCTGGGAGCTGGTAATGTAGTTGGCATTTGGTGGTAGAAACTCAGTTAGTGGAGAGAATCCAACTATTTGAGCCATTGCTGCTGCCGCCCAGGGTGCACATCAGCAGAAAGCTTAAATCAGTAGCCAGAGTCAGGGATCAAAGCCCAGCACACGGATGTGGAAGGTGGGCTTGATCATTAGGTCAAATGCCTGACTATGCATTGGATCCCCACCTGAGCCTTACGAACATCAGGGGCTCCGAAGCTGGATTTTAGGGTGTTCTGGAACCTACTGAAGTGACCACACAATTATGCACCTGTGTGCATTTTCCTGGGGAGAGAGTCCACAGCTTCTCAGAGTCTAAAAGGGACTGGGGTCAATGACGAGCACACACTGTTCCACCCCTGCCTGCGGGGCCCACGTTTTCTCCTCTTGGCTGGACACTTCCTCTTAGGCTTCATGGTAGAAACTCTGCCTCTGTCCCCAGGGTCCAAGCCTTGATCCTCCATCTTCTCTGCTCCATCCCTGGCGACCACCACACCCTCCACGATGCTTTCCTGCAGATCTGTGTCCACCTCAGCCCTGCATGGCCACCTGCACTGAGCATCTCCAGGGAAGAGGGAGAAATGGGGGCTCCAGGGTTTGCTCTGGAGGTGATGGGCGTGTTTTAGATGCAGAGGTGGTGGATGTAATAAATGCCACTGAACTGCACGCTCTCAAGTGACTAATTTTCTATTATATGAATCTCACCTCATATTACCCCATCATTCATGTTCCCAGGACAGCGTCAGCGATCAACTCTACCCCCTTCTCCACACGCTATCGAAGCCTCCCACGGAGGCTCCTGACCTTCAGGCAGAACCCAAACCCCATGGGGTGGCACTTGAGGTTCCACAAGACCTGACCCTGGTGGCCACATCCCTGCCTCTTCTCTCTGTCACCACCCAGCTCCTTAGGTGTGCTGCGTCTCTCCTCCCAGCTCCATCAGCTGTTCACGTTTCCTTCCCTGGAAGTCCCTCCTCCCTGCCGGTTTATTGGGGTGAGGCAGCCCACGAGGGAGGCTCCTCCCTCACCACCCTGGATCACACCGACTGGTGGGGGTCACCTCGCCCTACGTGGTGTTGAGCATTGCAAGGGCAGGGTCTGGCCTTTCATTTGGCATCGCCGGTGCCCACTGTGGCAGGTGCTTGGAGACTGGTTAGGAATATAATCAGTAGAAGAAACCCTTTCTGAGGGCTGTCTGTGCATGATGAGATTTGCTTGGTGCTCGTCTCAGAGCAGAGCCAGGCCCAGAGGGCGACAGCTTTGGGTGCAGTTAAGGAAGTGCCTTGGAAGGGCTCGAGCCGTCTGCACAGGTGGATGCTGAGGAAGGGAGCAAACCCAGGAAGGCAGAGAGGGAGAGGTGACCCCCGGCTCTTTCAGACCAGGCTCTAGGCCAACTGCACACATCTCTGTGTGCTGGGAACCCCATGTCACTGACATTCTACCTCCTAAGGATCCATCTTTCTCAAATCAGGTTTGAGTGGACCCAGCAGAATCCTAACACGCCCGTGGGCTACCCTAACTCTGCGGAACCCCTCTTGCCTTTCCAAACCTTGTCGTAGATGCCCCTAGGAATTTCAGACTCCAACTGCTGTCTGCAGTCAATGTTGTCAGTGTCCCCTGCTTCCCTGCACGCTGACCCCTCTGTGTTTATTCCAGCCACCTCCCCCAGCCTTGCTCTGTGCCCTGGGCCTTGCGTGGGGAGGATGAGCGAGGCGTCTCTCATGCCACTACCGCTGGCATCGTGGCTGCAGGCTTGTGAACCCTCCACACTGGGCCTTTATTACACAGGCACATTTTGGCCACCTGCAGAGCTCACGGAGCTCTTGAATCACCCTCCCTACCATGCAGAAAAGTCCCCTCCTATAGGGCAAGCCTCTGCCCGCCCCCTCACCCCAGCATCACCCCTGTCTGCCCATCCGGCCGGAGCTGGTACTGAGTGGCATCTCTGGAGGAATCCGGCAGAGGGACTTGGGCCAAAGCTTCAGCGTCCCCTTCCCCCTCCAGTGGCCAGCCCTGGCGGCCCTGCCACTGTTGGTGATTGTTAGGGGAGCGCTGGGCGAACAGTGGGCGATTCAGCGAGCAGGCCTCTGAGCAACAAGCCCTGGGCTGTGCCGAGCTCTTCAGAGTGGGCAGAAAGGGTAACACGGGATGCACACGGCAACCCTCGGGGACCGACAGCAGCTCTGGGATGGGCGGAGGGGGTCCCCCTGCAGCTTGCATGTCCCCCACCCCACCCTGGGTCAGATGGTCACCTTGACATGGGAATCACTCAGACTCCGACTAGCTGCTCCCCAGAGAGGCAGGCTGGGGAGAAACCTCTGAGAGTGGGACCATGGAGCTGGAGACAGAGCCTGGCAGAGCGAGGGGGCTCAGAGGGCCGAGCGTGAGGAATGCCACGTGTGGTCAGGGCCGGGAGCCCACCTGGGAAGCCTGTTCCTCCTGCACCTGCTTGAGGCAGGCTGGGCCAGGACAGACAGAGCACCTGGTGGGTGGCTTGTACCTGGGGGCCCCAGGTAGGCAGTGAGCCTGCGGGGCAGGCTGGCAGAGTGGCCGCACCTGAACCCATGGCTGCCCTGGGCAGTGGAGTTCTACTGGCTCTGTGGACACTGCCTCACGTCAGTCCCTCTCTGGGTCCTCTGCCAGGACTAGAGTTGGGAGGGGCACCTGGTACCCATGTCCCAGCCACATGACCTTGAGTCACTCACTTGACACTCACCATTCTCCCGGCTCTACTTTATTTCCTTATTTAAGCCAATGGGTAACGCTGCATGACCTTGGGTTAGCTGTTAGAACATGATATGTTGACATACATACGTATGTGGGAATGACCACATTCTCTTCACTCTTAAAGGGGATAATGATGGTGCCTTTCTCACAGGGCTTCTGGGGCTCAAAGAGGCATCCTTGGGCAGCATGGCGTGGCACGTGGTCACTCAGCTGTCCCCTGCCAGGCTGGGGTCCTGCTGCATGGCCCTTTGCCTTGGGAATTCTCAGGGATACTCATGGACCTCTCTCTCCCAGGCTCTCTGCTGATCTGTGCTGCCTTCATGGACCAGCCTGAGCCCAGCGCTTAGCTGTGTCCCTGGTGAAATGACTTCAGTTTCTGCTGAGGTGTTGCTGGTGTTTGTATCTATCTGCATGGCGGCATGATCCTCTTTTGGAAGACTGCTTCTACAGACAGGCCTCCCTTAAACGTGTTTTGTGGTGTGCTTTGGGGTCCTGCGCTCTCAGAAACTCAGGACTTGGGAGAACACTGATGTCTCCGGCATCGGGGACCACGCAGCAGGTCAGGAAGGGACCAGGCGTTACCTGTTGTGAACGAGGTGAAGAGCCGGACGTTGCCCCGGGCGAGGGCCTGGTAGTAGGACCAGCTGAGGTACAGCATCAGGGGCACCCAGATGATGGGGACACTGTACCTGCAGGAAGGCCAGGGTCAGAGAGACTCATGCACAGGAACTCAACAGGGGCCGTTCCCTAAAGACCAACATCCTGGGGACACGGTGACACCAGAGCACATGCAGAAGGCATACGGAGACCTGCGGTTGAAGGGGGCAATGGTGTGGAGGAGAGGCCAAAGGGTATGAAGCCATGTACCCGTCTCTAAGGTGAGTTATTGGCCCATGGCTACCGACACAGTGCACGCATTTGGGTAAACACTGACCTCTTGTGGCAGAGGTGCTAATTGCAAGCAAAATTGTTCCCATGGGCGTTAAAGGTTGTAAATCCCTCTCAGAAGTCTGGACTAGACCAGGGGTGGCATTCAAAGTGTTTCTGGCCATGTGCTGGGCTGTCACCTGCTTGGTGGATAAAATCATGCACGTGCCTATGGCATGTTCTGCCCTCCCCAAGGGCTTACAGCATTGCCCTGGGCTCTGGGGAGGGGCTCGTTTGCTTCTCCCCCTTCCAAATCTGATTGGCACCATCAAGAAAGAGGGACAGCCCACCATAGGAGGAGCAGGCTCACCAGACAGTCTTGGACAAGGCCTCGATGAGATCTGAGTGGAAGAGGCGGATGGGCCTGGCCACTGGCTGGTGGACCCACTCATCGTACTTCTCTCCCAGGTGGCCCACCTGCCACAGGAGAGGCTTCTTCCAGTCCACCAGGTCCTGCGAGGAACAGAGTCAGAGGACTTGACGCGCACGCCTTTGCACATTCAGTCTCCTGCTCGCTTCCAGGTGACCGCTGCCCCTCCCCCACCTGTAGTGTGTGGCGGGGGGACTCCTCACCCTCCTGCTTCCGGGATCCAGAACTGACCAAGCTGCTTCTCCCAGGCCCCTGACCACAGCAACAGGACCCAGGACAGGCCTAGGACCTACACCGGTGCCATGAGCCAGCAGGCACCTTCTCTTCTTAATGGAGCTGCTAAGATGGCAGAGCCTGCCAGAGGAACCGGCTAGCACAGAGGACGCCAAACCAGCTACCGACGTGGAATCCTGGGGGTGATGTCTGAGCACCCAGGTGAAGCCGCACCTGAAGCTCCAAGTATTGCCCAGGACACTTTTTTTTTTTTTTTGTCTAAGACAAGGACTTGGGTCATTGTTGCCCTGGACTCTTTAGCAACAGGAGCCAATACCTTCTGAATCAGGAATGATACCGGGACTTTCCCTTCCACCATGGGCTGTCCACTTGGTGTTGGCCTGGGTCATTCATTCATTCATTCATCTAAATAATCACACATTCCACAATTTGCTTCACATTTCACAATGGGAAATACATATTATGAAAAAAAATAAGAATGGATTTCAATTTCTTTGCACCAAACTAAATTTGCAAAGAATCAACAGTAATAGAAGAGACCGTCTTTGCTTTGTAGAGCGTAGAGCTTATCTGGAGTTCAGACTTTGGAGCTGGTCTTGACTACAGATCTTGGCTCCACCCCTTCCTCTGTGACCTTGGGAAAATTACACTTTCTCTCCGAGCCTGTTTCCCTGGCTACACAATGGAGGTAGTAATAACGGTACGTGCATTAAGTGCTCAGCGAGATGCAGCGTGCGAGGCGGGAGTTTCATAGTGACCCACGCCAGGCTGAGCTCTGGATGCAGAGCCATTGGTGCAAACACCGAGGTCCAGGGCAGTGAGGACCGGGGGTTTGTGTTGGCACTCATGTGACATGGAGGAGTTGATAACAGGGTGAGGAGTGTAGATGGAGACGTGGGTTGAGAATGATGGGGGCCCAGCTGGGACCTTGAGCAGTACCAGCGGGAACTCTGTGCGTGCCCGATCAGCCGAGAGCTTTAATAGCAGACAACTTGCACCAGGTCCAGTGGTTGGCGCTTTGTCCCCAAAGGCAGGAAATATGGGCACCACTGGTACTCTCAGGCTGACTACCGGAAGCAGGAAGAAAATATTAAAGACCTTACTTCAGGGCCGGTGCTATGGTGCAGCAGGTAAAGCTCCTGTCTGCAGTGCTAGCATCCCATGGGGCACTGGTTTGAGTCCTGGCTGCTCCACTTCCAATCCAGCTCCCTGCTATTGGGCCTGGGAAAGCAGTAGAAGATGACCTAAGTCCTTGGGCCCCTGCACCCTTGAGGGAGACCCGGAAGAAGCTCCTGGCTCCTGGCTTCGGATTGGCCCAGCTCTGGCCACTGTGGCCATTTGGGGAGTGAGCCAGTGGATGTTAGACTCTCTCTCTGCCTCTGCCTCTCTATAACTCTGCCTTTCAAATAAAATAAATAAATATTTTTTAAAAAATAAAGACCTTACTTCCTTTTATTTTTTTAAAATTTAAAAAAAATTATTTGACGGGTAGAGTTAGACAGTGAGAGAGAGAGACAGAGAGAAAGGTCTTCCTTCTGTTGGTTCACGCCCCAAATGGCCACTATGGCTGGCACTGCACCGATCCGAAGCCAGGAGCCAGGTGCTTCCTCCTGGTCTCTCCCATGTGGGTGCAGGGGCCCAAGCACTTGGGCCATCTTCCACTGCCCTCCCGGGCCACAGCAGAGAGCTGGACTGGAAGAGGAGCAACTGGGACTAGAACCCAACGCCCATATGGGATGCCGATGCCACAGACGGAGGATTAACCAAGTGAGCCATGGCACTGGCCCCCTTACTTCCTTTTAAAAAACATATTTATTCATTTAAGAGGCAGAGAGACCTCCCATCTTCCAGTTCACCCCACAACTGTTGGGACTGGGAGCCTAGAAATCAGTTTGGGCAGGGACCCAACTACTTGAGCCATTATCTGCAACCTCCCTGGGTATGCATCAGCAGGAAGCTGGAATAACTGGAAGTGGACCTGGGATTTGAACCCAGGCACTCCAACATGGGATGCAGGCGTTTTAACTGTTAAGCCAAGCACCTGCCCTTAGAGAGACTATATTTCCAACTATGAGATGTTTATCTCAAATTTAAGCCATAGTTGAATGTGTTCAAATGCAGAGTACAAGAGTACGTTAGCCATGCAAATAATGAATAGATGATCAAAATGGACATTAACATAGAGTGTGTTCAAAAAGTTCACTCCTAGGGAAGAAAGAACAAAAAGAGTTCAGAAGCCACAGCTGTAGGCATTGAGAAGCTGTGAAGATTTCCGATGAGTCAGTGAACTGAAGTTGTTGAGAACAATGAACTTGGAGATGGAACCACCTTCAGAGCCTGCCTCTGCCCATCAGCAGCTGTGAGATCCCATGCAAGGGAGCCACTGGGCCCCAACCTACCCCCGCAATCGGGATGAGGTGGTGGGTGTTCAGGTGACCTCCAGAACAAGGGGTCGGGGGTGAGGCAGCCACAGCAGGAGGGCAGGGTCTGGACAGGCAAGGGAAGAGCAGGAGTCAAAGCTGTAAGTGGAGGCACAAGACACAGGTCTGGGAGACAGAGCCAACAGAGATCCTGGAGCCCAGGCTGGACTCTCCTCCCGGCACAGGTGTCTCCAACCAGAGCCGACCCAGCCCCAGCGGGTCTCCCAGGAGCCAGCCTTCACGTGTGCCCAGCTGCTCGAGGGTGAAGCTAGTCCTTGGGAGTGGGGACGTGAGGGTCCTGGCGCAAGCAAACAAGGTCCTGGGCATTCTCCTGTAACTGTGTCAAGTGGGGAAGGTTGTGGCTCCTGCCGTGTGCACCTGGCAGGTCCCTGGTGCTGGCTGCCTTCCTGAGGCAGGGGGAGGGGACCACTTCCTGCTTCTCAGGCTGGAAGATGACCCAGGTCAGCCCGGAGCCATCCCGCCCTGGCACCAGTCAAAGAGGCAGCTGTCCAAACCCCGCCCACTTGCTGCTCCCTTTCTGATCCCAGGCTCCTTGACCTCACCCCTTGGGTTCAGCAGCAGGTGGCCTCATGGGATGCATGCTGTCTCATTCCTCCTGTTTCTCCACCCTAGATCTCTAAATGTACACTCATGCACACATGTGCGTGCGTGCACACACACAGACACACACCCCACCTTGCCACCTGCACCAGGAAAAGCAGCTCGAGGAACCAGGCAGCAGCCGTGTTTACAGCTTATCTCGCAGCAGCCTGCAGAGCCCCACCTCCAAGGAAGCTGGACCAGGGTTACAGGCAGAGCTTTAAGCTTTGGCCCAGTTGCAGTAACTCTGAGCACCGACACAGAGCACTTGTTAGGATGCCAAGCGCGGTTCTGAACACTTTCCACATGTTAAATCAATCACTCCTCACCGCACACCTACCCGGGTGGGCCCTGCAGTTACCGCCACACCGCAGGTGGGGACACAGGGTGGCTGAGCTGCCTGAGGTTGCCCAGTCATGTCTTCCTGACGAGGTGGCCCCTTGACCACTGGGAAATCGCCATCGTGGCCCTGGTACTGTTCCGAAGTCCGCTTTGATGTCACGAGAGCTGCACAGCTTTCTGAAGCCTGGCATTGGCAGGGCCTGTTTTTTTCCACCCTTTTACTTCCACCCTGTGTATGTGTTTATGTTTCAAGTGCATCTCTTGTAGACAGCACACAGCTGGGTCTTGCTTTCTACTGGGCCAGTCTCCTTGGATTGGCGTGTTTACACTATTTACATTCAGTATCAGCATAGGTCTACCTCCTGGTGTTTTCTGTCTGTCTCCTCTGGTCCTCCCTTCCTTTCTTGCCTCAAATATTTAAAAATATTCTATATTACTTCCTCTATTTATTTTTAGCTGCTTCTTTTTTTTTATTATTTATTTGACAGGTAGAGTTATAGACAGTGAGACAGACAGAGAGAAAGGCCTTCCTTCTATTGGTTCACCCCCCAAATGGCCACTACGGCAGGAACTGTGCCGCTCTGAAGCCAGGGGCCAGGTGCTTCTTCCTGGTCTCCCATGCGGGTGCAGGGTCCAAGCACTTGGGCAGAAGAGCAGGTGTGGGCCAGTGGTACAAACGACGAGCTCGCTGTCTAGGGCCAGTCCCGTGGCTGCCAGTGGCCTGCCTGTGGCTTTGCAGGGCCTCCAGACTGAGCTCTGGGAGGCAGCCCTCCTCGCTGCCCTGGGAGGACCACTCTGGGGGGATTCCAGGCAGGTTTTGCTCCACCTCCTCCCCTGCAAAATTTCTGCCTGTCATCAGAGGCCTCGGGTCTGCTCTTCCTGGGATGTGAGCCCTCCCTGGAATCTGGGCCTGTTGACCTCCTCCCCATTTTATGGATGAGAATACCGAGGCCCAGGTTCATGGGCTCTCCAGAGGCGGCTGGCTGGTTTCAGTAGGATCCTCTCCTCGCCCTTCCCTCGGCTCATAGAAGCCTCCACACAATTTCCCAAAGTTGGGACGTCCCCCTGAGGGCTTGACCTTGATCTTGCAATAGGCGGACCTGCACTGACTGATGTCCTTTCTCAACTCTCCTCGAGTCCTGGCCATGGACGGAGAGCCTCAGCTGGTGCACCCACCTCCCACATGCTAGCCATTTTCAACAGGGCAGCTGGCAGCGAACTGGCTTTCGGCAGGAAGGATGGGACTGCTCCGGATCCAGCCAGGTGGGAAGCGGCTCGAGGTCAGTTTCACGTCCTACTCTTCACCAGGAGGACCCCTTGGCTCCTGGTCTGGGCCCCTCCCTCTAGAGCTTCCTAAAGCTTGGGGGACTCAGGCAAGGCACCAGCCAAGCTCTGGGGAGAGGGGCGGGGGACCACGCCTCCAGTTCCCCCTCCCTTTACAGCAGGGGAACCTATAGCTAAATCCAGACCGTGTGGATGAAGGTGAG